CGGCTGGGACGATACACGTCCTTTCTCACGCACGACTCTGCTGCGTGGCTCTACTGTACTGCCTGCTTCGCTCACGCTTTGCTACGCGGCTCTACTATCCTTCCCGCTTGCCCTCTCGCACGGTACTGCCCGCCTCGCGCGCGTGCCGCCAGCTGGCCATGCAGGTGCACAGCCTAGCTGTGTGGCTTCGATGCCGGTCGACGGGAACCGGCTAACCGTGACAGACACACTCCTGATTTTTACCAATTAAGTAACATTGCCGATCTACAGGATTAAGTAGAAATGTTATTTCTGTATATACAACCGACGGGCGAGTACTGTCGCTATCAACATCTCACGCACGCTAACTGTGGACCATCGTATGATTAGCATATTTAGAAGCGATTCATTAGCTAGAGCTGTACCTCAGTACACGTGTACTGTCTTTTATACCTGTCGCACATAATCACCTGTCTGAAAGTTGCTCAAACCTCCATCCCTAGTACAAGTGGCGACAGTGCGATAGACAGCGAAATTCGTTATGCCGTTAGTTAATATGCAACTATGTAAATAATCGACGCGAGATCCGCGTAACGGAAAATCTCCTTGATGATTTCAAGATCATTTGTGCGCCGTGTATAGCGCGCACGTGTCTTCTTGCAGTGTTGCTCTCATGTACAGCTGAGTCGGCTGCAGCAATCAGATATCAAGCATGCGTGGTCATTTCGACGCTACGTCAGGGCCTACGTGCGGCAACGCCATTCCCCGCGAGTCAGAGCAGTATAGCAGCAGCGACAACAACTCACAGCGAACACGATTCGCCTGCGACACATCCCCTTGCCCGTGTCTGCACGCACAGGTAGCTGAAGCTGTTTGCCTGTAAGTGAGCGCCGATCCTCTGCTGTTGCAAAAAATCCATACTGCTCGCTTTTGTCAACGCGGAGGTAACGTGCTGCTGCTGCTGCTTCTTCTGCTGCTATTGTTGCTGCTACTACTGCTGCTGCTTCTGTTGCTATTGTTACTGCTATTGTTGCTGCTACTACTGCTGCTGCTACTGCTGCTGCTGCTATTGTTGCTGTTACTACTGCTGCTGCTTCTGCTGCTATTGTTGCTGCTACTGCTGCTGCTGCTGCTGCTTCTGCTGCTATTGTTGCTGCTACTGCTGCTGTTGCTGCTGCTGCTGCTGCTGCTGCTATTGTTGCTGCTACTACTACTGCTGCTGCTACTGCTGCTGTTGCTGCTACTACTACTGCTGCTACTGCGACTGTTGCTACTACTACTACTGCTGCTTCTGCTGCTATTGTTGCTGCTACTGCTGCTGCTATTGTTGCTGCTACTGCTACTGCTGCTATTGTTGCTGCTACTGCTGCTACTGCGGCTGTTGCTGCTACTACTACTGCTGCTACTGCGGCTGTTGCTACTACTATTACTACTGCTACTGCTGCTGCTGCTACTGCTGCTACTGCGGCTGTTGCTACTACTACTACTACTGCTGCTGCTGCTGCTGCTGCTACTGCTGCTGCTTCTGTGTCTTCCCTAGTGATGGTGGCAGCGGCGACAGCGGTGGCGGTGGCTGTGGTCGTAGTGGTGCTGCTGGTGCTGCTGCTGCTGATACTACTGCTGCTATGCCTGCTGCTGCTACTACTACTGCTGCTGTTGTTGCTGCTGCCGTCGATGCTGCTGCTGGTGGTGCTACTACTGCTGCTGCTGCCTCCGCAGCCGCTGCTTTAGCTGCTGCCGTTGCTGTTGCTGTTGTCGCTGTTGCTGTTGCTGTTGCTGTTGCTGCTGCTACTCATATTATTATTATTATTATTATTATTATTATTATTATTATCTTTATCTTTATTATTATCATTATTTTATAGTTGTTGTTGTTGTTGTATGTAGGCAAGCGAGAGAACATACATGCAATTTGGATGTCGGTAAATTCATATTGAGCGGTGCCCGCCGAAATTCTACCGAGTGTAAACGGTCACCTTCATCTATAGTTAATCTTGCGTCAAAAAACGTCGCGGTTAGAATATAAACGAGGAGGGAAGGAAAGAAGGAACGAGAAGGCTACGTTACCGTTAAATAGCACCGGATTATTCGTAAACAATACATATAATAAAAAACACAGTCATGGCTTTGTTCAAAATTTAAATTCAACAATGGGGTTCTCACGCATTGTGCAGGAGCACAAAGTTAATTAAATCAAGAAAGGAAGCTGGCCGAGACCATGTGCAAGATAAATGTCTCATCATATCCTTCCCCTGACGCTGAAAAACGTGCTCAGGCAAACGCGCACGCAAGCATACGCAGGTTAAAGACCAAAGAAAATTAGGAACTTCAGTATGACAGCACGGCGACCCTCTCATTTGGTTTTGTTTACAGATTTCAGCGCGTAAATGGAAGTAGCAAGTTTTCAGCTTTAACCTAAATTTCCTCCAAAACAGATACAGCAATGATCACCGGTTGTGCACAGAAAGATAATTCGTCACTATAATGGGAATTTGACTAAAATTCGACGACGATTTGAAACCTAGGTTACTAAAATAATTCAGAGGAATATATTCCTGCCGTGTGTGGGCACGCGACAATACAAAATACGACGCTGTGTTGATACGACTATGGTCGACCATTAGAATTCGTAGGCGCTTTCCCACGAGATATATATCTTCTTCAAATCCATTAACACGCAAATATTTATCTTGTTCGTGTAAGACTTTTAGACACTGAATTGTTAATAGAAGCTGAAGCTTTTAGTAAGCTGCCTCCTGAGCGAAAGATTAGTAACTGGACGGGTCAGAAACTGAAAGACCTCCACGCCGAATTGAAAGCTATACCGACAGGCGCAGGAAGCCGAAAGAAAGCAAAATACGTGCTGGAGTCAAAATGGCGGCAAGAGAGGTAGACGGAGACGGTTCTAGGTTTCGTGTAAAGTTCGTGAGAGTGGCAGAGCGCTGCACGACGCTGAATGTATAAGCGTGGAAACGACGAGATGTAGCCACGAAGAATGCGGTCGCAATTCCCGAAATCATGAGCCGCGTCGGTAAGCCGGAAATACTCGCGAAAATGGACACCGTGGCGCATGCGCGCGTGGCAGTTACAACGTACGATCATTGTGCAGCGCGAAGCGACAGCGTTTAAGAAAAATCGTAATTCTGCCGAATCTTGTGTAAGCGAGGAAAATAGAAACGCTGAAAGAAGGGTAAAACCCATTTCGATTTTAAACGACGTAATAATACTGGCGGCGAAGACAATTTGACGTGTTCACAAACACTACTTCGCAGACTGTTTGCAGTGGTTCGTAGACGATGACGAGCATGAGCTGGTTTGACTACACAAGTGGTCGGCGTCGACGCGACCTCAGCGCCCTTCAGCGATGGCGGACAAAATAACAGACGCGAGCTGAAAGTCAACGCATGAAGATCGGCTCTGCTACTGCTCTCTCTCTCTCTCCCTCTGTCTCTCTTTCTCGCGCTCTCTCTTTTTCTTTCTTTCTTTCTTTTTCTCTCTCCTCCGCCTTTCTCTCTTCCTTTCTCTCTCTCTCTCTCTCTCACGGTCTCTTTCTTGCGCGCGCCCTCTCTCTCTCTTTTCACTTTCTCTCTCTCTCACTCTCTATCGCTGGCTTGCTCTGTCTCTCACACTCACACACACAAACGTTCGTGTCAGGCGTTCTTTATATATATCTTTCTCGTGCTCGCTTTTTCTCTTTGCGTCGCGCTCGCACTCCTTGTCTTTTCTTTCCTCCAAAAGAGTCTCATAAACACTAAACCAGAAGCGCGCAATAGTACATGATTTCATGTTCATGTTCGATGTATATGTTTTGTGTATTGTTGTAAGGCCTATTTTTGTTGACGGTATTAATATTATTATCAACGTTAGTACGTTCAATACCTGTTGACATCAAAATGTAGCAATAAATTATCAATGAAATGTTTACATTGCTCAGCAACACTACGAGCTCGCTGGGACGGTAACGTATAATGACTTACTATATACACACATATAGAAGAAATAACCGCAACATTACGATGTGTACGTATCGCGCTTTGACTACCATTTATTATGAGGACATTCTAGTTTAAATCATTTATAATATTCTCTTTAGCTATTTCATTCGCCCCGCCACTTCGATGCCCACTTAATACACATGCGCAATCACACGTGCATGCATACACAGGAATTAACATGCGCACGCACGCGCACAAACACACACACGTATACGCACACGCACACGTACACGCATACACACACACACACACACACACACACACACACACACACACACACACACACACACACACCAACGCGCAAGCTCATACTATTGCAACATATGACACGATGCACTAACCGCTGATGGTCATAAATAATTTTATACTTTTCCCATCGCGGTTTTTTGATGATTAGATTCTAGATTGGTTGACGGTCGCCTAAAATCGGCGACCACTGACATATCATCAGGAGTGTGTCATATAGACTCTATATATAGTCTATATAGTCTATATTATATAGTCTATATTACACACTTCTGCTATTATCGTATACACAATGAATATATCATTACTAAGCTTCCATCTTATATTACAATCACTATCATAGCTGTCGTGTATATCTGTGCCCACCATGGCTATATATAATACTCCAGGAGTGGACACACTCGTTACAACATAATCAGTGCATGCTGAATGACGAAGCAACTCGCATCAACTATGGATATACCGAGTGTTCGCTTCCCATGAGTTTGAAATGATTAACTAGCGATAAAGAGAGGAAACGTTGTACAGCAGAGTAGAGGTGTAGCGTCTGCGTCATTGCAAACTTCTATAAATCCGACCAGCGACCGACACGGCGCTATATTAACAGCAAGAGTAAGATAATAACAGAAGTAGATAAAAGGGAATTCCCTATTACCTACTTCTGATAATAACCAGATGGCGCCAATATTTATCAACATATCTGTTGGCAAAGCATTCGTGCCCCGATAGGGGTTTAATGTACTTGATTATGTATTGATTGTGGCACTCGGTACTCTTTACAGTAGATAAATGGTAGAATTCTATTTGACGGAATAATGTATTCCATTTTTAGTTATGCTCTCCACGACGCACGCTCTATACATTCAAGAGATCCGGTGTATAGACGACAGCTTGAAGCATACGAGGGAACTCACTGAAACATCCACGATTGGCACTTTCACGAAACACATTTTGTCGGCGGGAAAACTGACGAAGAAACCCAAAATCTCACATCGACGGGTAGTACGAGGTACTATACAAAATTTGTACAAGATCAACAACCTTACGTAATTTCTTCGTCTACAAAATAAACCCTAATGTGCGGACACCTGTCGCCTATACAAACGAATCGACAAGCAGCCAACCAGAGAGGGACGTCATCTCAACTCTGCATGTCTTGACCGACAGAGCTCCACTGCTGGTGTACCTGAAAAGAATTACATAAATTTGTAGTGACGAATATTAAATAATTAGGCGGTCATAATTAGGACGAATTTTTAAATTTTAAATTTTTAAATCTCGATTTGCTATAGACTTTTCAGAAGGATCGGTTCCATATTTCGCTTTTCTAATTCGACCGAATAAATTAGTAAATGTAAAAATGCTAGATATTGAAATAGGCAGCGTAGTCGGGAAGGATTTATGACTATGTGAATTTTGGTATAAGCGTTAATAAATGAGCTATTGCAAGTAATCACTGTCGATTTTCGGAACAATTGTACTACGCGATTATCGGGAGCCTTGATTTACCATGACACATCGCGCCACCACAGAATTGATTCGCGAAAATTCGATTAAGAGTTCTACTTTGCGATAAGTGAATTATGCATGTGTATTGCTGTGTAACCAATTCGCATGATACCAGCTGAGCGTATTTTCTAAGCACATTGATTTTCGGTTTTAGCTGATAGCATTCCAGTTCATTTTCGCAGAACAGGTCCATTTCAGGTTTTTATTAGATACGATGAGTAAATGCTTGCTTTATCGCTAGGAGCTGCCTGCCGGCATTCCCAACGATCTGACAACTTTTATTTAATCTGACTCAGTCACTCTCGAATATTGTCTGGCATGTCCGGAGATCACTGACATTTGTGGTTCTCCCCCTCTCTCTCTCTCGCTTTCTTGCTCCCTCCCTTCCCCCTTGCCCCCTACCCCTCTCTCCCTCTCCTTTCTTTTAAATGAGTTATTATGTGTATATTTGTTCCATACATTGTTGTCTGGTGGTATTTACGCAGATGTAGTAAATAAACACCGACGAATAGGTGCATATGTGCATAACTCAATGTCAATAATTATTAACGATCTCCTACTTATCACTGGATGTTTCGCCGCTTAAAATATTAATCTGCTACACCGTAAGTACGTGTTTCGTTATCGCAAAGTGTCCGCGGAGAAAAAGTCCGTTCAGTCTATAGACCTCGGACTGCCGTGCATGCACATCAGATTTGGTGCAATGCGACAGTTAGCGATGAAGGAGCTGGCGATATTACAGGATATATACACACACAGGCACGCACATGCGCACACACACGCACACGCACACGCACACGTACACGCATACGCTCACGCACACACACACACACACACACACACACACACACACACGCACGCTCATAAGCATACTCTCACGCGCGCACACACACACACACGCGCGCGCGCGCACGCGCACATGCACACGCTTACGCTCATGCACACACACACGCACGCACACACGCACGCGGACACGCACACGCACACGCGCACACGCACACGCACACGCGCACACGCACAGGCACACGCACACGCACACGCACACGCGCGCGCACACACACACTTACACAAAACATGTTTTTTTATTTAATCATGTGTATTTGTGCGTGCATGCGTGCGCGCGTGTGTGTGTGCTTCATTCATTCTGATTAATAAAGCATGCTACATGTGATGTACATAGAAATTGATGAAGTAAAACGCAATTTTCATCGCAAATTAAACAGAATAAAGATAAAAATTCGGCATATTTTCGGAAAATTTGGGGACAAATGTTGCAATAAAAAGAAAATATCTTTTAAATGTTTTTAGAATTCTCAATCAAAAAACACATATTGACATCGGACGACGTGGCTTCGATTGTTTCAGCGATGGGTTCAATTTCACTAATAGATGCTACGCTCTGTAGATAACGAATCTGTGAGGCGCTTTCGATTCGGACTTGCACATCGCTCCGATCTTAGCTGTCACGTCTAAACCATCGCAGATAGGATTAGAATCATCCGAGAAAAGCTATGTATCTAAGTGTCGCAGGCGGCTAGGTCTTTACTGGTGATATATAATATGCGAGCCCACGCCAAGGCTCAGTGCTCTCGACTGTCGCATCAATTTGGCGCAGAATTATAAATCCGTGCGCGCAGACACATACGAGCAATTCTACCGTAGCTCCCTCTATCACGAATTCCCTCGTTGCAAGCTAAGTCCACGGCTGCTTTTACCGCGAGCGCAGTACAAACATCAATTGTACCGCGCGCCTAAACCATAGAACTAGAATAGAACTTCCATTCTAGTTCTATGACCTAAACACGTAACCACCGCCTATATATGATCCGGCTAGAAGTGTATAAGAACTGCAAATCCGTATTCACCGCTGTATCGTTCGAACGCGCCTCACACGCGATTAGACGAATGGTTTAGTTCTAGTTTCTTATTATGTTCGAAATTGACGCACATATTCGGTGTGGGTTCGAGGGGTTCGTGCGCGCGTGCGTGCCGCCTGCGTGCTTGCGTGCATGTGAGCGCGTGCGTGTTTGCGTGCTTACGTGCGTGCGTGCGTACGCGCGTACGTGCGTGCCCACCTCTTCCCTGTTGACGTCTTGCGCCGCCTCGCGACCAAATCTCCATGCGAACGCGCACCGCGCACAACAACCATCCACGATTCCAGGTCGTAAAGAATACGCAGACGATAGCTCCCCCTATCGACGCAATCCCCCACCCCCTCTCCCGTGCAGCGAAGGATGCTAATTTCGCGCTCCCTCTCCCCCCTCTCTCTAGAGACTGTCTAACGGAGCAATTTGAAGCCAAGTCAAGCGCAACTCGACGGTACTACGAGGTAAATTCGCAGTCGCAATCGGCGCGATCACGTAAAATAAAAGACGCATTCGTCCCCACGAGCCGCGCGCTCGTCGGGTGACGTGGCAACAAGAAATTTAAGCGCGAGATTTATTTTGAATTCGCTCCAATGACGCTGCTGGTGTCAACAGGCGGCGACGCTCAGCTCGTCCCATTCAGGTTTCCCCGGTGCAGATAAGTGTGCACTCGCAAATTGTGTATCGCGCACCACGACCGCCATCTTTAATTAATTCGCATCGTTTGCGAAAGAGTTAAGATTATTTTTCGACGTCGTAAAGTTGCGTTTTTCTTGCGTCGACTCGGTACGTTAAGCCGGGCTGTCGCACACGAAGTTGTAATGGGTCAGCGCGCCGGCACGACTATTCGCATACGTCACTGTCGCAGATTTGGTTAAAACTTCGGTCTCGAGCGAAGGTCTTATGGGACACGGGGATAAGAGACGTCGGGATGAGAGAGAAGCGCAATAATCGCAGAATATTGTCGACTTTAGTAAATATCGAGCGTTGTGCTCGCCTATGCCGCAGCTACAAGTGACATAAACCCTGCCGCACTGGGAGCGGCGGGATCTGGATGACGCTGCTGATGACGTTAGCACGCAAACCTCGTACAGGCAGACTAACGTGAGTGGGCTTTCAAAGACGATGGAGTCACGCAAAAGTCACAGGACGGAGTGATACCCGAAGCGATGTGATTACCACAGCGGATGGTGTACGATCTCCGCTTTTAGTGCTTACAGCGGATTAGAGAAAGCGAAAGTCTCCACGGTCGAAAAACCCGCGTGTAGTATATATTGCCTAGTGAGGTCGTAAAATATGGTAGGTCGTTCGGCGTGATCGATCGATCATTCTATCCATTCATCCATCCATCCATCCATCCATCCATCCACCTAAAGCCAACCCATACAAAACCACAAACCACCCATCCACCCATCCATCCATCCGTCCGTCTGTCCGTCCGTCCGTTCGTCCGTCCGTCTATCCATCCATCCATCCATCCATCCATCATGGTAATGATAGATGGATGATGGCAATGGATGGACATGCGGAATGGCATGGATGGGCATGGATGGTATGCCGATACATGTCGCATGGGATTGATAGTGATAGATGATGGATTGGATGGGATGGTGGAATGGCATGAATGGATGATGAGCATGGGATTGGCATCATAGGATGGATTGACTGGCAATGAATGGATGGATGATGGTTTTTTTTTATTCGCGTGAGATGGCACTGAATGGTATGGCATGGATGGACTGGAATTGGCGATGGCAACTGGATGGCATGGAGTAAAATAGAGAATGGATGCGCCATATGGATGATGGCATGGAATGGCATGGATGGATGGATGGATGGATGGATGGATGGATGGATGGATGGTATGGCATGGCATGATTGGATGGATGGAATGGATGGATTGGATGGTGATGGGAATGATGGATGGAATGGATGGACTTGGTATGGATGGATGGATGCATAGGATGGATGGCATCGGTATGAGATGGATCGCGCATGATGGATGGATGGAATGGATGAATGGGTGATGGGATGGCGGATGAGCCGTGGTACATGCGATGGATGGGATGCAGATGGATGGTATGGCCCATGAGATGGCATGGCATGGCATGGATGGAATGGATGGATGATGGCAAATGGAATGGTCAGTGCGAGTGGATGGTATAGAGAAAATGCGATGAATGGTCAATGGAATGGATGGCATGATAGGATGGCATGAATGGATGGATGGAATGGGTGGATGAGAATGGATGGCATGGGATGGATGCGCGGAGTGGATGGAATGGAGATGGATAGATGGGCGCAGACAGAATGCAGATGGATGGAGGATGTTCATAGTATGAAGTGAGATGGCATGGATGGAATGGCCATGGTCGCATGGATGGATGGATGGTTATGGATGGATGGATGGATGGATGGACATGGAATTAGTTATGGAATGATTGGATGGAAGGATGGCATGGGATGGGATGGAATGGAGTGGATGGATGGAATGGCATGGCTGAATTGGATGTATGATTGAATGGAGAGGTATGCGTCATGGCGCTATGAAATGGATGATGCATGGCATGGGATGGATGGGCATCGCAATGATGGATGGTCTCGGCACTCGCGCGTGGTCATGGATTGATGAGGATGGATGGATGGATTGGAGGGGATGAATGGCATGGATGGGATGAATGGATGGCATGGATGGATGGACATGCGATGGATGGGATGGAAATGGATGCATGAATGGGATGGTGGATGGGCATGAAATGGGTATGACGGATCGATGAATGGAATGGATGGCATGTGATACCGCCGGATGAAT